ATCTCCTGACCTCGTGATCCGCCCGCCTCAGCCTCCCAAAGTGCAGGGATTACAGGCGTGAGCCACCACGCCCGGCCTAATAATAGTTTTGAAATTTGCTGGGCATGGGTGTGGTGGCTCACAAGCAACAAGGTCATCTTGATGTTACTGTAGTTATAGTCTGCATCCTTTGTCCACATTGATTGGTTTGGACTACCGTAAGGAGAGTGACTCCTAGGTTTTCCGTGTCAGTAACTGGCTTAGGAGACCCTGAAGGAGGAGCAAGTTCAGTGGGGAAAAAATAAATTTATTTTTGAACATGTTGAATTTAAGGAGTTTGTGAGCAATTCATGCAGTGATGAGAGGTCAGTTAAATATGCAAATCTGGTGTTCCAATAAGAGATCTGGGCTGAAAATATAAATTCGGAAGTCTTTAGAATATGGATGGTAATTAACAATATTGGAGTGCATCTGAGCATGCAGGGAGAAAGCACAGAGTGAGAAAACAGAGGCCTGATAGAGTCCTGCAGACACTAAAGCGTGATAGTTTCATACAAGAGGAGGAGCTTTGAAAAGAGCCTGGAAGTGACCAATGAGTTGGAGAAACCCAGGAGAGTTTGTGTTAGAAATGCCAGGAAAGAGAATGCCTCGAGAGAGTGACTACTGATTGCTGCTGAGATGATGATTAGTAGAACTGAGAAGTGCCCATTGGTTTTGGTGAGATAGAGGTCAGACATGACCTTAGCACTTATTGGCGACCAAGCCATATCGAAGTATATTGGGGAGCAAAACTTTGCAAGCTTGGCTATGAAGGGTAGAAGAGGGAATAGAAGCTACAGAGGGGTCTGAGATTAAGGTAAAGTTGTTTTTATTTTATTTGAAGATATTAGAAACTATATCTTTCATGAGAAACAACTGAGTTTAAAGAAAGAGAAGAAAGAAAGGTTATTAATAGTGTAGGTTTTTGGAGATGGGAGGCAAGGCTGGGAGATAGAGCAGCATGGTGGAGGATTTGGCCTCAGATGGGGGAAGTGAGAAAGAAAGTGTGGTGGCCGGGTACAGTGGCTCACACCTGTAATCCCAGCACTTTGGGAGGCCGTGGCAGGCAGATCATCTGAGGTCAGGAGTTCGAGACCAGCCTGACCAACATGGAGAAACCCCATCTCCACTAAAAATACAAAATATTAGCTGAGTGTGGTGGTACATGCCTGTAATCCCAGCTACTTGGGAGGTTAAGGCAGGAGAATCACTTGAACCCGGGAGGCAGAGGTTGCGGTGAGCCGAGATCGTGCCATTGCACTCTAGCCTGGGTAACAAGAGCAAAACTCTGTCTCGAAAAAAAAAAAAAAGAAAGAAAGTGTGGCTTAGCTGAGTGCAGTGGCTTATGCCTGTAATCCCAGCAATTTGGGAGGCCAAGGAAGGAGGATTGCTTGAGCCCAGGAGTTCAAGACCAGCCTGGGCAACATAGTGAGACCCTGTCTTTATTTTAAAATGTGGCTTACAGTTGTAGGTTTGTAATCCAAAGGGAGGGCATTGCAGTGGTTCTCACCTGATGTCTTTTTCATTATGCGGCGCCATCTGTCAAACATTAGGGATACAGCTGGAAGCTTGATGAGACTGAGGAGCATTTAAAATAGTTACTGATGTGGGATATCGAGCAGTATTGTGGGACCTGCTGAAGACTAGGACCATGAATGAATTTATGGTGGTTGCAGTCTGTGCTGTTATTTTTCTCCAGTAGCACTCAGCAGTCCAGATCAGGGCAAGGGAATTATTGACAGGAGAGTGACTGAAGTGATTGAAATAATACAGTGAGCAACCTAAGCATGCTTTAAAAAGGAAAATGTGGCCCGGCGCAATGGCTCACACCTGTAATCCCAGCACTTTGGGAGGCCGAGGCGGACGGATCATGGGGTAAGGAGTTCGAGACCAGCCTGGCCAACATGGTGAAACCCCATCTCTACTAAACATACAAAAAATTAGCCAGGTGTGGTGGTGTGCACCTGTTGTCCTGGCTACTTGGGGGGCTGAGAATCACTGAGGAGAACCACTTAAACCCGGGAGGCGGAGGTTGCAGTGAGTGGAGATTGTGTCACTACACTCCAGCCTGGGCAAGAGAGTGAGACTCGAAAAAAAATAAAAGTAAAGTGACAAGGAAAAGAAGGTTGTTAGAGATGAGGTGATAAATTGTGGCCATGCAGTGTTGAAGGGGCTACCCATGAGCACTTCAAAGTCACCAGGGTGACCCTAAGATGATAGGAATTAGGGTAGAGATGAAGAGTAGAAACCACTGCCAAAGTCTTCATTGAGGGAGGGAGTGACCATGATTAGGAAGGACAGAAGTTAATCTAGACTCTTGGCACAGGTCTCAAAAGAGAAGGGAGTTTTGCTTGCAGCCAGAAAAGTAGTGATCTGAAAGCTACAGGGTGGGACCCAGTAGGACATAGGTATATCCTGTAGGGATGAAGAGAATGAGCAACCTCCACCAGAGGGCTGCAGAGAGGAGTGGTGGCCTCAGTGAATGACCAGGTTTCTGGTAAGGCAAATCATGGAAGGAATGCTGAGTGAGGAGCTCTAGGATATAGATGAGTTGGCAGATTACAGAGCATGAGTTCCAGAAGGTGTAGGCAAGTGTTTGAAAGTAGAGGGGTTGGGCCGGGTGTGGTAGCTCAGGCCTGTAATCCCAGCTCTTTGGGAGGCTGAGGCAGGCGGATCACGAGGTCAAGAGGTCGAGACCATCCTGGCCAACATGGTGAAACCCCGTCTCTACTAAAAATACAAAAATTAGCTGGGCGTGGTGGCGCGCACCTGTAGTCCCTGCTACTCAGGAGGCTGAGGCAGGAGAATTGCTTGAACCTGGCAGGGGGAGGTTGCAGGGAGCTGTGATCACGCCACTGCACTCCAGCCTGGTGACAGAGCGAGACTCTGTCTCAAAAAAAAAAAAAAGAAGAAGAAAGTAGAGGGGTTGGAAGATTGGCTCAAGGGAAAGAAAGCAGTATTATCAAACAGTTCAAGTGCAAGAGAGGTTCAGTCATTGGAAGGGTTTCCAGAGTACTCTTCTTTTTTTGAGATGGAGTCTCACTCTTTCGCCCAGGCTGGAGTGCAATGGCACAATTTCGACTCACTGCAACCTCCGCCTCCCAGGTTCAAGTGATTCTCCTGCCTCAGCCTCCCAAGTAGCTGGGATTACAGGCACCTGTCACCACGCCCGGCTAATTTTTTGTATTTTTAGTAGAGACGGAGTTTCAGCACGTTAGCCTGGATGGTCTCAATCTCCTGACCTCGTGATCATCTGCCTTGGCCTCCCAAAGTGCTGGGATTACAGGCGTGAGCCACTGTGCCTAGCCTCTTTTTTTAATTTAATTTAATTTTTTAAATTTTTTTTGAGACAGAGTCTCACTCTGTCGCCTGTGCTGGAGTGCAGTGGCACAATCTCAGCTCACTGCAACCTCCGCCTCCTGGGTTCAAGCGATTCTCCTGCTTAAGCCTCCAGAGTACCTGGGACTACAGGTGCGCGCCACCACGCCCAGCTAATTTTTTGTATTTTTAGTAGAGATGAGGTTGGCCAGAATGGTCTTGATCTCCTGACCTCATAATCTACACACCTTGGCCTCCCAAAGTGCTGGGATTACAGGTGTGAGCCACCATGTCCGGCCCTTTTTTTTTTTAATTTTTACAATTTTTTTTTTTTTTTGAGACAGAGTTTTGCACTTGTTGCCCACGTTGGAGTGCAATAGTGCAATCTCACTTCAACCTCTGCCTCCCAGGTTCAAGCAATTCTTCTGTCTTAGCCTCCCAAGTAGCTGGGATTGCAGTCATGTGCCACCACACCCGGATAGTTTTTGTATTCTTAGTAGAGACGGGGTTTCACCATGTTGGTCAGGCTGGTCTCGAACTCCTGACCTTCAGCTGATCCACCCACCTTGGACTCCCAAAGTGCTGGGATTACAGGCGTGAGCCACTGTGCCCAGCCTTGATTCATTTATTCATTAACAAATATTTAATGAGTGCCTGTAATGTGCAGAATGCTGTATCACCCTGATAATATTTGGGCAATATGAGTTATAGTCACTGCCCTTAAGGAGGAGACATATACACCAATAGTGCATTGCCACAGAGCAGTGTCACGGAGACCAGGCAGGTAACATGAAGTGTGCAGCCAGCCAGAGGGATGGTGGTGAACTGTAGAGGAGTGCCTGAAAGGAGGAACAGTTACTCAGCTCAGCTAATTGCTCCCCTGTAAGAATACAGACCCAGGGTGGCCAGATTTTCTTGTTGTTTAAGAGCAACCAGAAATCTCTATAGTTAAATATAATTTCCTACTTTATTAATTTTTGTTTTTGGAGATAGGATCTCACTCTGTTGCCTAGGCTGGAGTGCAGTGGTGCCATCTCAGCTCACTGCAGCCCCCGCCTCCCGGGCTCAAGCAATCTTTCCACCTCAGCCTCCCAAGTAGCTGGGATTGCAGGCATGTGCCAGCACACCCAGCTGTGGGAGTGAATTGACAGGGCATTTGTAGAGGATATTTTGGTATCTGGGAAAGCACATAAGCTCTTCATCAAAGCGTACCTTCCAACTCTGAGGTACCAGAGGGCCCAGGTATACTTGAGAAATGAACAGAGAGGATGTCAAGAAAAAACTTATAAGCAGAAAACTTACAAAATGGGAGGTGCCAGAGGGCCTTAGGGGATTTCCATAGTTCTCTCTGGTAGTTGGCAGTGACTAGATAGCCAGGAAGATAATTGAGAGATCGTGGGACAGAACTGGGATGTGGGAAAAAGGGGCATTCTGATCATCCCCTCATTTCTTCCTTTGACCCTAAAGAGACATATGAGCGGCTCGAGGCTGACAAAAAGAAGCAGGTTCATAAGAAGCGGAAGTGCCCTGGGCCCATAATCACCTATCATTCAGTGACAGTGCCACTTGTTGGGGAGCCGGGTCCCAAGGAAGAGAATATTGACATAGAAGGGTGAGTGAACCTCAAGAAAAGAGATTGTGTGTTCAGCTCATGTTCTCTTAGCCCCATCTTGCTTGCTTGTCTCACACAGCTCTCCTTAACACTTGGAGATTTCTTTCAGATTCCTCACTCCCTTCAGCTCATTTTCTTTTTTTTTTTTTTTTTTTTTTT